CCCCCCCTTACTTATGGCAGCCAAAAGATGCAAAGCAGTAGTAGAAGATCTTGAAGGCTGACAGACTGATAGGTTGGGGATGGATGGATGGAGAGAGATTGATAGATGGGAGATGGATGATAGATAGTAGCTAGATAGATTAGAGAGGGAGTAAGAGATTAATAGTTTGAGATTTGGTGGATGGAGAGGGGGAGAGAAAGATTGACAGATGGGAGATGGATGATCAAGGGTCTTCCAACTTGACAGCTTGAAAGACTGGTGGACTTGCAACTCCCCAAATTCCTCCCCCAGTCAGGTTAGCTCAGGGATTCTGGGAGTTTGAAGTCTACCAGTCTTTAAACTTGCCAAGTTTGAAAGCCCCTTAAGACTACAACTTTCTCCAGGATTCACCTAACTGCGCACCCCCCAACATCCCCAGAAACCTGTGTGAAATTTTTACATATTTCCCTTCCTGGCCCAAGTATGGACAGGAGTCCCTGGTGCTGTGTGAGCCTATAGATTATTTCCATACAGATGTTGTGTTACCCGAACTAGGCAACATCACTCGTGCTAGAAGGCAGTGCGGGTTGGCTTGGGGAAACCTGCAAACTCCCCCCCCCCAAGCACAGCACTGGTGCTGTTCCCTAAGTTGGGTCGTGAAATGCCTGCCAGAAAGCCCAGCTTGGAGAAGTGCCAAGGCCCCCACCCCCCCTTTTGTGCCAAGCCTGAGCTGCAGCTATTCTCCTTTATTGGCAAAGCAAGTGTGTCGCTCTCTTTTGGGGGCCAGGATGCGTATTGTTAAGGCAGCCTCTGTGGCTTTTCTCAAGCGGGGCTAGAAGCAGCCGTGGGTTTTCCTTCGGCTCTGCTCGGAGGTCTCTGTCTGGGCTCACCCTTGATACAAGGGAGAATGGCTCGCTGTTGGATAGCAGAGGGTTTCTCAAAACCGTAAGCGTAGATTCCTCGCAGAAGGGACTCCGACAGGTTCATATCGTCAAAGCTGTCGACAATCTCGTTCCAGTTGCTCTGTGGGGAGAAGCGGGCACAGGATCAGCCTCCGCCCCCCCCCCGGAACCCCTCCCCCCCCCCCCAAGGGAAGCTGTAGACAACCCCCCTCCCCACACAACCCAACTCTTCTTAAGCAGAAAACCAGGTATATAAATAAAGCTTCATAGGACTATAGGATCAGGGCCAGGCCAGGCTCCCTGCCAACCCCAAATGGGATGAAACCATAGAGCCCCTCCCCAATTGCTAAGGGGGGCGGGGAACAAATGTCTTCTTTGGAGGGGGAGGGGAAAAGCAATCCTTCACAAGAAGTAGAACCCCAGGACTGGGCCAGGCTTCCTGCCACCTCCAAGTGGGGTTAAACCAGGGAGCCCCCTTTCCTACTATACTAATGGGGGGTGGGGAGAGCGAGCATCTTTCTTGGGGCGGGAATCCTTCAGTGGAATTGGAATCCCAGGCCTGAGCCAGGCAATCTGCCCCCCTCCACCCCCAAATTGGATGAAATTATGGACACAACCTGTCCTTGACGTATTACTCCAGTTCTAAGTAGGGAAAAAAGTATCCGTGTATGTGTGTGTTGTGTAAGACACAATCCTTCACAGTAACCCCAGGAGCGAGCCAGGCTTCCTGCCACCCCCAGTGGGGTGAATCCATAGAGCCCCCTTCTCCTATTACGCCATTCCTAAGTGGGGGGAGGGGAGGGGGAGGTGCGATCCTTCATTGGAACTGGAATCCCAAGGCCTGGTCCAGGGTTTCTGCCAACCCCCCCCAAAGTTGGACGCAACTACACATCCCCCCCTCCCCCAAATATTACTCCAATTCTAAGTAGGGGGGGAAGGAACCCGTGTGTGTGTGTGTGTGTGTGTGTGTGTGTGTGTGTGTGAGAGAGAGAGAATCGGGAACCAAATCGCCCCCCCCCCAAACGGTGTGCGTGAGGGGCCCCGTCTCCTCCCGCACCAGATCCTAGATAGGGGAGCCTTCTTGGGGGGCCGTTTGGGTCTCCAGATGGGGGAGGGGGCTCACCTCGATGACGCCGTCGGGGTCCATACCGTCGGGTCCATTGTCTCGGGAACTGCAAGAGCGGAGGGAGGGAGGGAGGGAGGGGAAGAGAGAAAGGCGGGGGGGGGGAGGTCAAGATACGGGGAAGCTGCGGGCGAGGCCCCGCCGGCCAGGCGCCTCCCCGGCCCACGTGCGCTTCCGCCTTTCCCTTTTAAGGCCGCCGGCCCCGCCCCGCCGCCCCCCCCTCCGCGCGCGCGCGCGGCGCGGTGACGTCACGCGGCCCCGAGTTGCCCGGATGCGCCGCCGCCGCCGCGCGCGCCAGGACAATGGAGCGGCCGGGATCGCGCGTGCGCGGAGGACCCGGCCGGGGGGGGGGGGGGGAGCCGGGCCGCCCCGCCGCGCGCGGGGGGGGGGGGGGGGGGAGGAGGAGGAGAAGCGAACGGCGAGAACGGGGAAAAGGAGGCCGGAAAGGGGTTCAGGGAAAAAAGAAAAACCGCCCGCAGGAAAGGATCGGGGCCGCGGCCTTGGCGCAGTCAAAAAAAAAAAAAAG